GGGACGGGGGCGGCGGGGGAGGGGCGGGGAGGGGAAAGTGGCGCGGGGGGAGGGAGGCTGGGGGGGGGACGACAGATTTCCAGCTTCTACGACGCTCTGCCTAAATTAAAAAGCAACCAATCGGAACGGCCGGAAGGGGGGCCGCGCGTCCTAAGCCAGTCATTCCAGGCCTGCCAATCACCCAGCGGGTAGCCAATCAGCGGGGGCCCTGGTGCTCGACTTCCTTGTATTTGGGAAAGTGTGGTGGTGGGTGCGCGCTTGCGGCGGAGGGTAAACATTCGACAGTCCCTGCTCTGAGAGGGAGGGACGACAGGGAGCGAACTGTCAGATCCTAGCGAGAGCGGGCGCTCGTGAGAGGGAGAAAGAGAGAGAGAGAGAGAGGGGGAGAGAGAGAGAGAGAGAGAGAGAGAGGGAGAGGCAAAGTGAGACAGGGAGAAAGAGAGAACCCGGGCGCAGAGCTAGCTCCGGCTGCAACTCTGCCCCAGCACGCCCGCGCCTGAGCCCGCCGTCGGGCACTCTAGGAGCGGTACAACGTGCCCACAGGAGTTGGTTGTGTATCACGGATCCCCTGTATGCACACACATATCTCCACCTCCACCAATGCACTCTTCTTCTTCCTCCTTCTCCAGACAACTGCCGGGGGAAAAATAAAACACCAACCCCAACCAACCTTCAGCAACAAGGTAACAGAACAATTCGACATTTTTTTTCCTGTTCAATTTTTGCCTTGTTATATTTGTTTCCTAATTTCTGCCCAAAAGGAAAGATGTCGCACCAGACCGTGACTGTTGCGAGGAAAATGAAAAGGGACTCTTGTTTCAGAGACATCCAAGAGCTCCGGCAATAGCAACTTCAGAGAAATGCACCATCTCAAGAAGTTTTTCTAGGGCAGAACAAAACTTGAAAGGAGAAGACCAGAGGGGGAGAACAGGAGCCAGCCTCCCCACTCCGCAGACGCGAGCCGCCAATAGCACCACGCCAGTAAGGACCGGAAAAGTTTTACTATGCTAAGGGGGAAACAGTGAAATGTCTTGCTGAAGAGGAGAGAAGCCAGCGGACCAGCAAGGAGCGGCCGGATTGCTGGCCACCCACAATTTGGCCGAGGAAGAAAGGAACCGTTTCGTCCTTTGTTGTCTCGCGTGAAACCTTTGCTTAGCAGGTGGACAGAGCCCCGCGCCGGGGCAGAGTCCGCACCCGCCCGAGGACGAGGACAGGAGGAACAACCCGAGCCCCTGCGCCCGGAGAGAGCGCCCGAAGTACGGGTCCCCGCCCCATTGGGCGAGCCTCGCTGGAGCGAGCCGATTGCTCCCGGCCAGGGGGGAGACCACGACCCCCCCTGAAGGGGCTGGCCACGGAGCTCACCCCGAGAAGCGATCCCCCCTCCCCAGGGCGCTGCTCCTGCTGCGGCTGCTGCAGCGTCTGCTGCTGACCGAGGCCGGCCCGCGACCCCCGCGCCCTGCCGAGCGGCCTTGCAGCTGCAGCCCCGGGCCGCGGCGGCGGCGGCGGGGGCGGAGGCGGCGGAGGAGGAGGAGGCGGCGAAGGCGGCGGGGACCCGGGGCGGGGGAGGAGGAGCGGGGGGAGGAAGCGGGAGGCGGGGGGGCGCGGCGGCGGCGGCGGCGGCGGCGGCCGCGGCTGCTGCTGCGGCGGCGGCGGTGGTGGCGGCGGTGGGGTGGCGGGAGCGGAGCGGCATGGCCACGGCGGCTTCTAACCCCTACCTGCCGGGGAACAGCCTGCTCACGGCCGGCTCCATTGTGCACTCGGACGCGGCCGGGGCGGGCGGTGGCGGAGGGGGCGGTGGCGGCGGCGGCGGGGCGGGGGGCGGCGGCGGTGGCATGCAGCCCGGGAGCGCCGCTGTGACCTCCGGCGCCTACCGGGGGGACCCGTCCTCGGTCAAGATGGTCCAGAGCGACTTCATGCAGGGGGCCATGGCCGCCAGCAACGGCGGCCATATGCTGAGCCACGCGCACCAGTGGGTCACCGCCCTGCCCCACGCTGCCGCCGCCGCCGCCGCTGCCGCCGCCGCCGCCGTGGAAGCCAGCTCGCCGTGGTCGGGCAGCGCGGTGGGCATGGCCGGCAGCCCACAGCAGCCTCCACAGCCGCCACCGCCGCCGCCACAGGGCCCCGACGTGAAGGGTGGCGCTGGACGCGAAGACCTGCACGCCGGCACCGCGCTGCACCACCGCGGGCCTCCGCACCTCGGACCCCCGCCGCCGCCCCCTCACCAGGGCCACCCTGGGGGCTGGGGGGCCGCCGCCGCCGCCGCCGCTGCCGCCGCGGCAGCAGCAGCAGCCGCTCACCTCCCGTCCATGGCGGGCGGCCAGCAGCCGCCGCCGCAGAGTCTACTCTACTCCCAGCCCGGAGGCTTCACGGTGAACGGCATGCTGAGCGCGCCCCCGGGTCCCGGCGGCGGCGGCGGAGGCGCGGGTGGTGGAGCCCAGAGTCTGGTTCACCCGGGGCTTGTGCGCGGGGACACGCCCGAGCTGGCGGAGCATCACCATCATCATCACCACCACGCTCACCCGCACCCGCCGCATCCGCACCACGCGCAGGGACCCCCGCATCACGGCGGCGGCGGCGCGGGGCCGGGACTCAACAGCCACGACCCGCACTCGGACGAGGACACGCCGACGTCTGACGACCTGGAGCAGTTCGCCAAGCAGTTCAAGCAAAGGCGCATCAAGCTGGGCTTCACCCAGGCCGACGTGGGGCTGGCTCTGGGCACGCTCTACGGCAACGTGTTCTCGCAGACCACCATCTGCCGCTTCGAGGCCCTGCAGCTCAGTTTCAAGAACATGTGCAAGCTCAAGCCACTGCTGAACAAGTGGCTGGAGGAGGCGGACTCGAGCACCGGCAGCCCCACGAGCATCGACAAGATCGCGGCCCAGGGCCGCAAGCGCAAGAAGCGGACCTCTATCGAGGTGAGCGTCAAAGGCGCGCTCGAGAGCCACTTCCTCAAGTGCCCTAAACCCTCGGCACAGGAAATCACTAACCTGGCCGATAGCCTGCAGCTGGAAAAGGAGGTCGTGCGGGTCTGGTTCTGCAACCGGCGCCAAAAAGAGAAACGCATGACGCCCCCGGGCATCCAGCAGCAGACGCCGGACGATGTCTACTCGCAGGTGGGTACCGTGAGCGCTGATACACCGCCACCGCACCACGGGCTGCAGACCAGCGTGCAGTGAAGGCCGGGGGCGCAGCGCGAAGAGGGCCGCCGCCGCCACCTCCGCAGCCGCTGTCAGCACCGCCGCCACGGTCGCCGCCGCCGCCGTCTCCGAGCCGCCGCCAAGAACCGCCGCTGCTGCTGCTGCCGCCGCTGCCGCCGCCGCCGCCGCCGCCGCCGCCGCGCAGACCCAGCACCTGGCCTGGGCCAGTGCGTCTAGGCCGCCTCCCCTCTGCCCAAAGACAGGCGTGCCAGGACTCTAGGAGGAGGGGAGAACGACTGGGGAGACACCGACCGAGGAGACTCTTTTTGAAGTCCAAGGAAGGAGGGACCAAAAAAAAAAATTAAAGCATAATAAATACCAAGACTGATTTATATGCATATATAACAAACAAAACCGGAAGAGGAAAAGGGGGCAACCGGGACATCTCGTTTATACTCTGGTGGTGTTTTGTTCTGTTTTGAAAGAAGGTTGAAGATGCCTAGCGCACCGAAACTGCACTCTTGAGGTACTGTACACCCCGAGATGTCCTTCATGGCATCAGTGGAGAACACCTGCTTCGTCCTCCCCTCTGAGACAAGAGAGACACCCCCTCCCTTTCTTCCACTTCTTCCTAAAGGGCTGCCTAAAAGATCCATGGAAACTTTATTGGGAGCGACCTGAAAAGAAAGATGCACCAGGTTTCGTGCTGGTCTGACTCTACTCCAGAACAGTGTTTTTCTTGGCCATATTAAAGTCTTTGGGGAAAAAAAATAAATCAGCTATGAAATGGGAAGGAAGGAGAAACAGAGTCTGGGACGGGGGAGAAGATTCACAATTTCTGAAGTTCACAGACTGAATAGAAAAGCCAAAAGAAAGCATCCTCGCGGTAACCTTGGAAATAAAAGCAGCGCGAAAGAGCCCGGGCTGGGTGAGGCTGAAGGCCAGGCTCGTCCAGCCGCCAGCTGGGAGGGCACAGCAGCGGGGGCCAAGGCCCAGCCTTTGAGACCGCCCAGAGAGGCCAGGCCACCGCCACCGAACCCGGGCTTTGCCGACTGCCACTCGGGGTGGACCATGCCTAAAGATTCCACCGCTAATATTTTTTTTATTAACATTTTTTTATTTTTTATTTCTGGACTGACTCCGATTAAAAAAAAAAAAAGAGTGTGGAAAGAGAGCACCAGCCGCCGCACTTCCCTTGACTTCTGCCCTCAATCCGTTGCCAACTTTGATTGAATGGGTGCTGCGGATGTGATTATGTAATACTGCCATTTCCAAGCAGTGTTTTTGGTAGGTTTTAATAAACAGACTTTTCAAATGACGGCAATATAGAATCGTTAGATCCGTTGTTGATCTAAAAATATTTGCTTTATATTTTCATTAAATGACTTCTTTTAATATTTTATTCAGAATACTTATGAACTGCTGCAAAACGGTAATTTATTTTTCCCCAGATCTTGTATTACGTGTTTTTTTCAGACGAGCACAAATCAAAATGAAATGAAAATATGGACAGTTGTTAGGTAATAAGGGTATCTTTTGATGTGATCCTTTGATTGTAATTTAATTTGAGTAGTGATTCCGTAAGAGCTGATTGAGAAAATAAATTTGTTAGAATGAAATAGTCTGTGTCTGATGCATCAACACTGTGTGGGAAGAAGAGTTCTCTAGAAAATATTTTTTTACTAATGGAGATCCTTAAGTCGTAGAGCATCAAGGGAGCAGAGCTTCCCCCACGCAAAGGTGTGTTTGGAAACCTCCAGAACAGGCTAGGATTGCTGGAAACATCTGTGCTTTAGCAATAGAGGTTGTTCACTCCTTTTTGGTCCATACATTTCACAGTATTTTCCTTACCCTCAGCTTCAGCGTCTCTAGTGTTTTTTGCTGAGCGATCTATAACTACTAGCCATTTTCTTGAAGGTACCTGTTTTGAATCTCACGATTGAGCTACATCACCACTGAAAATAAACCCACCCGGTCAATCATGGTAAATACAACCCCTCATAGTTCAGTCTCTCTTTTTTTTTTTTTTCTCTCTATCTTCTTATCCTCCAATATATCCCTGTTTCTTTTTTTCCTAAAGATCAATAGTTGCAAAGGATAGCTTATAAACCATTGAAGTATTTTAACATCAATTACTCCCCATTGGTACCTATACGTGATTAGATTTCGGTTATTAAGCTTATGGTAAGCTTTTCTTATTGCTTTCATGAAAGAAGACCTTGCAGAGAGCCCTGCTTGACTCTGCACTTGGATGGTCACCAAGCTCAGACTCGAGGCTGCCCGTCTCTGTGGTTTGGTCCTCCGGAAACTTGGTTCTTCACCATTTCCAGTGCTGAGGGCTTTAGCTTTTCGGGTCACTTTTTAGATCAGCCCCTGCAGAGTGGCCACATTAATCAAGTTAATGTATCAATATTTACAACATGGAAAGATGGAAAACCTAGTGCCTCGGGTTGTGAGTGCTAAAGATGAGAAAGGCTCTGGTTGGTTGACTCCCTGTATGGTTTTTTTTTTTTTAAACTGAGGGAGAAGGCAGTGGTTTTTACACGAGAGTTTCCCCCCATCTCACTTAGCTACCACTCACTTTTTTGCCTAATTTTGTCTCCTTCCCTGGCTCAACCCCCCACCCCACCCCCATAATTTAGATTCAGGGGTCTAAAAATCCTGGGAAACTGTAAGAGTAAGGAACAACTATTTCTCCCAGAGAGACCCTAGAGCACAAACCAAGCCCCAGCCAGAGGGCCACGTATCGGGTGGCATTATGTTTGACACTAAATTGCACTTAAAACTCACAATCATTCTGATTTGTGAAATCTGAAAGAGTCCATATTTATTCAGCAGAAGAAGGTTGTAGATAAGAAGCTACATTTTACTTTTCTCTGGGGGTTGCTGTCTTCTGTTTCTCCTGCTATTGTTACTGCCCTTCCCTGGGAACAACTTGGTGTGGGGGTGGGGTGAGGCTCACCATCATTTTTCTTTTGGTGTTGTTACTCTTGTTGTTTGAGGGACTGTAAGAGTAAGCCAAGAAGACCTGTCTGGAAACCCAGGAAAGGGCAGGTTGGTTGTGAGTGGAGCACACCCCTGGTATAGAGAGGAATCCTGAGTTGGTTTTTGTTTTTTTGTTTTTTGTTTTGTTTTTTGTTTTTTGTTTGGATGGGGGTGATTTTGTTTTGTTTCGTTTGATTGTTTTCCTCCTGTAATAGTGGTGCTTAACTAGAAGGGGGAATGGGTCTATTTAAATTTTTAGGAGGTCTCTACTTACTTGATTTAGCTGAGGACAAGGGAGCTAACAACTAGATTTTTTTTACACTGTTTTCTATTAAAAAGAACCTTTGCTGATTATTTCGGAAGAAGCCTTGATTTAGAAGTGAAGAATCTGGGCACGCAAGGCGATTTGTTTGTCATTTTGCATTTTGTAAAGGAAGCTGATGCTTGCACTTTTTTTTTTAAAGTCAACCCTTTGAATGTATTTACAAAATGAAATTCCTGGTTGAAACACTACAGAAAAGATATAAAGCAAGAGGTTTTATGCTAAGGCTCATATTGTTACACATGTAAATAATGAAAATATTGTTATATATCCCCAGATCTTTATAATGAATTTGGTTATTGTGTTCCGTTGCGGCACAAATGTCTTGTGCTTCCTAAGCCTCCCATTTGTTTCCTCCATTGCAGCCGTCTCCTCCCATTTCAACCCAAAGGAAAGTGGCAAAGTTCTATCCCATCAACCTGGTTAGTTACAAACTAGGCCCATTCGTAGTTCTCAGTAGACTGTGGCTCCTGGGCTCTAGAGCCATGATCTAAGCCTTGACCACCTCGTCTGCCCGGTCACCTTCCCCTGACAATTCTCTCCAATAAATAATTCAAGGTGTATTTAAAAATATAAGTAAATTTGCTGTTATTGCTCTGCATTTTCCCTCCTTAGTATTACCCAAGGATTCTCTCTCTCTCTCTCTCTCTCTCTCTCTCTCTCTCTCTCTTTCTCTCTCTCAGATTCCCTCTGCTTCCCCGTGGCCTCCGGTGTTTGCTCATCCCATGCTCATGATCTGTTTTGTATGAATGGTTTTCAACCTTCAGAGAATAATTGGTTCTTATATCAAATGCAGTATATACTCTTCATAGTTTTATCACTGAGTGTAATATTTTAAATAATTTTAACAATTAAATTTGCTTTTTAAATTATATATTTGTAAAGTATTTATCCTGTTGGAAGCAACAATATATTGTTGTATTTATTCGTTTATTTTTGTAATAAATGATCAACGTCTTCAAGCTAAATCAAAAATGACACTTTTATATATCTATACAAAATGCATTTAAAGAGATGGGCACATTTGCACCAATTTGTATGTAAATAGAGTGAGAGCCACCAATAACTTGTAGCTTTCAGAACTAAATTGAAGGAAGAAACATTCTTTCCACATGGAGTTTAGTTTGCCCAAGTTCCAGGGTAATTAATCAACTCTGAAATAAATGCAACAGGTATTGGCAGTACATGTAGGCTTGAAATTAGATATTTAGGATGCGGGCCTGCTTTTTTCCCCACCCTCTTAAAATGGAAAGATATTAAAGAACTTTGTTCTTTCCCCGAAGTGCACGAGGTTGGCTGTACCGATCAGATGCTGAGTTTCGGTGACAAACCCCCAAACACCTGGCTGTGCTTGACTTCTGTGCTGGGGGAAGGAGAAAGGCAGCTGAGAGTTCGAGTGTTTCAGCGATCCAGAGCAGGTGACGGACTGAACCGAGTAATGCCAGGCTTAACAGCAACAACCAAAATGTTTAGACGGTTTTAAAACGACTGAGGGTCGAGCCCCTCCTTCTCCGGTCCCGCTACAGACAGAAGTAATCAGTGCAGGTGTTGTTGTTAGCAGCGGTGCGTGAGAGAGTTGGGGGGGGGGCTTGCTTCGCTGGACCAGCCAGAGCTCTTTGCTTTGCTTGGCTGGCCATTTCAATTCCTCGGGGTTCCTAGTCCCAGGGCCTGAAGGTCGCTCATGTGACCTCCTGGCTGCGGGGAGCCCCAGGATAGGCTTGATCTTGATTTCAGTAAGGAAATCAGAGGGCTCTGTGTTTACCTCCTGAACTTTCCAGCCTAGGGAAGGAA